TTCCACAGACAAAGGTCTACTATCTCGAATCTATAAAAAACTTTAAAAAATTAGACCTCCCAAATTTAAAGACCCAATCCAAAACTGGGCACCTGAAATGAACAGACATTTCTCACACAAAGTAGAAATATAAATAAACATATGAAAAAATGTTCAACATCACTGGCCATTCGAGAGATGCAAATGAAAACAACGCTGAGATTCCATCTCACTCCAGAAAGAATGGCTGCTATCATGAAATCAACCAATAACAAATGCTGGTGGGGCTGTGGGGAAAGAGGAACCCTGCTCCACTGCTGATGGGAGTGTAGACTTGTGTAACCACTGTGGAAATCAGTCTGGAGATACCTCAAAGAACTAGGACTGGAAGTCCCATTTGACCCAGCTATTCCCCTGCTGGATATCTTTCCCAAAGAATTAAAAGAATCATACCACAGTGATATATGTGCACCCATGTTCATAGCAGCACAATTTGTAATAGCTAAAACTTGGAAACAGCCCAATTACCCATCAACTGGAGACTGGATAAAGAAAATGTGGTGTTTTTTAAAATGAAATGGAGTACTACTCAGCCATAAAAAATGAGAAATTAGAGAGATTTATTGCTAAATGGGTGTACATTGAGGCGATACTCTTAAGTGAAATAAACAGAACACACGTGTAAATACCAAATAGTTTCCCTAGTGTGGCAAACTGAAAGTGTAAATAAGGACTAAAAGGTATAATAGATAATGTGAAGTAGGAAGAAAAGGGGCAAAGGGGAAGGGGAAGTGGGAGGGGTAGGGGAAAGGAATTGAATTAATATGAGAAAATGGAAAAATGGAAACAAAGTCTTTGTAAACAGGGAGGGATGGAGGGGTTGAAGGGAGGGAAGGGGAATGGGGAAAAAATAAGAACCAAGAGAGTATGTAAAGGTGCAAATTTCCAATGATGAATGTCATTACATTGTATATCTAAAATGTGCCAATAAAAGGATATACAGTTAAAAAAAAAGAATCATATGACAGTGATATATGTGCACCCATGTTCATAGCAGCACAATTTATAATAGCTAAAACTTGGAAGCAGCCCAAATGCCCATCAACTGGAGATTGGATAAAGAAAATGTAGGTTTTTTTATAAAATGGAGTACTACTCAGCCATAAAAAATGAGAAATTAGAGACATTTATAGCTAAATGGATGCACATTGAGGCAATACTCTTAAGTGAAATAAAGAGGACACACATGTGTAAATACTGAATAGTTTCTCTAGTGTGAGAAACTAAAAGTGTAAATAAGGACTAAAAGGTATAATAGATAATGTGAAATAGGAAGAAAAGGGGCAAAGGGGAAGGGGAATGGGAGGGGTAGGGAAAAGGAAAAAAGAGAATGGAAAAAATATGAAAAAATGAAAAAATAGAAACAAAGTCTCTGTACATAGGGAGGGATGGAGGGGTTGAAGGGAGGGCAGGGGAAGGGGAAAAACTAAGAACCAAGAGAGATTATGTAAGAGTGCAAATTTCCAATGATGAACATCTTTATGTTGTATACCTAAAATGTACCAATAAAATTAATTATAAAAAATTAAGATATTTTACACATAAAAAACACAAATGCTTGTTTGTGATAAGTGCATTGAAGCAAAAATAAATCAGGATAAAGATATGGAAAGTATCTAGGGTAATCTGAGATAAAGCAGTTAGATCAGAGTTCCCCCGATAAGCCCTCTCTGGTGTGCAGTAAGCCTAGCTCACTCTAAGCAGTAAATATGAGAACATCACCTTGATACCCAGACCAGCTAGGCACACACGCAAAAGCAACATAGACTCCGAAAAATCCTTAAGAAAATCCAACAACGTATTTCACAGTTACTACATGTCAATACAAAGTAGCATTTGTGATAGGATCGTGACATCAGAAAAAATCTGCTGCTGTGACTCTGTATTTTAACAGATTTAAGAAAAAACCACATTATTATCTCAAAAGATGCTCCAGTGGTATTTGACGTACTTCAATACCTATATATGATAAAAGTAGTTAGGTAATAATGTATATATAAGTTCCACTAGAGCAGAATTTTTCTTTTTAAATGGTTCATACCTACATACCAGGTGCTAAAAATGATACCTGGATTTGGTTGGCATTCAGTATATATTTGTTGAATGAATGAACGAATGAATGAATTCCTTTAAGCTGAAAAGGACAATTTTCTTCCTCCTTTCCTCCTCTTCTCCCTCTTCCTTCTCCTCTTCTCCTCCTCCTCCTCCTCTTCCTCCTCCTCCTCTTCCTCCTCCTCCTCCTCCTTCTCCTTCCTCTTCCTCTTCCTCTTCTTCTTCTGGTTCTTTGAAACAGGGTATCACTATGTAGCCCTGCCTGGCCTCAAACTCATGTCAGTCTTCCTGCCTCCGCCTTCTGAGTGCTGGGGTTACAAGCATGCACCACCATGCCCAGATCAAACCTCCTTCTTAATGGAACAGAGTCTTGAAACCTTCCCTTTCAGGAGGGGGCAGATAAGAGTACCCCCTCCTGGTCAGTGTTTGAAGATGCCCCACACAGCGGGCCCAGGACAGGTGTAAGGATAGTTTGGCGGGCCACCAGTGGTCATGAAGGCACCACATTTCTCTTCCCACAGCAATCATTGCTGAAAAAAAGTGACTTAAATAATTTTCTGTTTACAACAGGAACTAAAATCAGACACTCTAGGAAACAGCCTAAAGGAAGAAACAGAAGAAATTTCTGGAGGAAATTTTAAAACTCTGTAAAAGATACTTTAAAAACAAAGCAAGTGGAGGCTTGGACCATGTTCAAGAATGTGATGATCTAACATTGAAAACTGTCTGCTCTTCCTGTAGCCTGATCTATACAATCAATGCAGAGCCCATCAAAATCTTAGCATGTTTTTGGTAACTTGAAAAACTGACTAAAGAAAGAATAAAGGGTTAAGAAAAGCTAAGACCACTTAGGTAGAGGAGAATCAACAGGAAGGACTCACATCACCATACGTTAAGACAGCTCCAGATCTCTAATGATTAAAACAGAACACATGAGGAACAAGCAGTCAGACCAACAGAATAGAACTAGAAGTCCAGAGGCAGACCCTAGACCAGAGAATTCAGTATGTTATAGAAGGGGCACTGAGAACAGAGGAAAGAGGAATAATTTGGTAAATAGTGACAAAACCAAAATGAGCTTACTATATGGAGACAAAAAAGTCACATTGTATTCAAAAGTATCAGCAGCTGTAATTAAAAACTAATTGTAAAAGATCAAACTATATAAATTAATAGACAAAAATATTAGAATACAGTATATTTGCAATTTATGGATAAAGGAAAATTTAGAACTCAAAACCAGAAACCAGAAAAGGAAACACTGATGCATTTGCCTATACTCCAAAGAAAGACTGCTATTTGATGAAGAACATCACAGACAAAATTACCAAATAACTAAACAAGACAATAACAACAACAAAAAAGAACAACCCCCCTAAAAAAATTCAACGAGAAAACTCAGTAAGAAAGTCAAAAGAAAAATATGGGGAAAAGATAAGAGTATAAAATTTCCAGGAGCTACCCAATATAACCTGCTAATCTGCTAATGACATGCAATCAAACAGTTGGAAATCAGACCACCAGACCTCCCTTCACTCCTTACTCCCACTCATTAGCAAAATTAGAGCAACACCGTGGAGGAAGAACAAGGCTGTGAGGTTCCTCAAGGTCTCCTAGCGTGGGCCTCCGTGGTCCAGCTACCATGGAAGCAACTGCAAACCCTTGTTAAACTAAATGTGTGCAATTCCAGGGGCCAAAAAACCCTACTGGCACCTGTCCCTATGAGGCTGTCCCGGGTACAGAAAGAAACATGCATGAGGTTTGCAGCAGCTTAGACACCCTCCCCCAGAGAGCGGAGCAAGGGAATATATCTAAGACACAGCCTTCTGGAGTAATGAGCTGATACCCAGAAAGCACCATTGACATATCTCAAAGCACCTGATGGGGTTAAAACAAAGAAATACATAGACTGCAGGCAGATTGGAAGGAAGTTGTCACGTTCATTAGGTTCCACTCATGTGGAAGTGGTTGCTTCAGTGGAAAGGAGAAAGAAACTGGACCAACACTGATATTTCAAGCAGAAGTGTGTGGGCATCTCAGTCTAGACCCCTAGGTAACAGTGCTGTTACTCACACCCAGAGAAACTGTGTTCCAGTCCAACTGGGAACTCGAGCTTCATTTCTCCTATCAGTCGTTTAAATAATTCTACCTTGCTTTTTTGTTTTCACTGGATAAGATTTAAACAATTATGGGATCTACTCAATGGTTAAATTGATGTAATTGCATTTATTAAACTGAGCACTTATTGGACTATTCCCAGGGTGAAGTAAAGCATATATGTGGACTGGAAGGTGGACCATTCAGCCCCAGTCATAGAATTATTCAGATGCAACTGTACAGCCAGGGAGGGCTAAACTCAAAACTTCTCTGAGTGGGAAAATAATTGACTAATTAATGGGAGTTTCACTTACTGGTCATCATATTTTACAAATGACATAAATATCTCAGTGATTCAACTTGTACAAATTTGATATATATTCTAAAAATCCAGGAACCAGTACTTCCCTGTCTACTGGAAATGTATCTGGAAGAAAATTCTCTCTTTAGAGATTTTTGTCTTAATAATTCTCTTTATGGCTTTATAGTTCTGTCTTTCACATTTAGGTTTTAATTCCAACCACATGTACTTCTGAATATGATATGTGAGAGGGGCCCAACTGTTTTTAAATCTCCATATAGTAAAAGTTTCTGTATTTATTTATCTTAAAGGACACGAAAGTCAACACTTTTAGCCTGGGCCATTATAATTTTCCAAGTTTTATGAGTCATATGTGGCCCTGGCCACTGACAACAGCTGCCTAGCTCTGGTCTGAAGGCATAAATGCCCTGTCCCTGGCAGGCACACAGGGTAAATAGAGATGGTTCAAGGTAGGTAGGAGCCGATTAGAAGGCCCCATTCCATGCCTCACCGTTCCTTCAGGGTCCACCAGCAGCAGGTGCTTAGCCTGGCCATTGTGCATGCCCGTGAGAACGAAGGAGCCGGGGTTGGTGGTGCTCTTTCTGACCAGGAAGTCTCCATCTTTCTCCAGCAGCCCCTCCGCCTCCTTCCTGCTCATTTCCCCCTGGTACCAAGGCTCAGCTTGCAGGTCCTCCAGTATCTTGGCATCTGGGGCTCTGGGTGAGACAGGGCTGATGCACTCCACGGAGGCGGCCTTGCTCAATATGGGCCCCAGGGCCTGGTTCTTGAGAGCATCTTCAAAAGGCTCTGTCAACAACAACATTGGCCAGCAATAAGTCAATCCCAGAAAGAGCAAATCATAAAAATATAATACACTAGATGCAAACTGCAAATGCACCTCCGCCAGAGGGGGTAAAACTAGAGAATGTTGACTGGCTGGTAAGATTACAAGAGTCAGCATAATAAGGTTTAAAATCACTGCCCAAATTTTGGCATGTCTCTCTCCAGTGATTCTGCTTTCCCCCCAATAGCTGGGAGTTCTGATTTGTGCCAAGCATTCAGCCACGCCCATGGCCTAGCTATGGGGAATGACGTCATTATTGTACCCACAAGAGGCCATGAGTATTTCACAGCATCGCCCATGCTTGGAACACCAACCAGCTTCCTTAGGAAATTCTGAATAAAATCTCACAAAGTCCAGAGGAAAAAACAAAGCTACAAAGCTTAGATTTAATCCAAACCTAAATCCAGCCCACTGAATGTTTATTTTAAAATCTTTTGAGTGTCTCCTGTGTGATTTTCTGGAGGCCAGAAGCTCCATCACCTCTTAACTTTATCCATTTCCCTATAGCAACACGATTTCATTTGAATACCTGACATGGAACTTGGCTTTATCCCCTTTGGAACACACTTCCTACAGTTGGCTATCTGTGAATGGTCAAGGCTGCTCTTCTAACAGCAAGGAATACCAGTGGCAGAAGAAGTAGCCAAGCACATTTAATCAAATTTCAAAGTTCAGTTTTCCAGTAAGGTAGCATATGCAAAGCACTCTGAAAAACACACACAGTGCTATGCAACTATAGGGCATTATGATGATGATTTGGGATTATACTGCCCACCTACTGCGATGCAAGCACCACAAAGACAGAAATTCTCCCCAGGCAGAGCCACTGCTCTAGAGCCCCACATTGTTCCTAGGATGCAGTTTGGACTCCATAAGTATTCAGTGAGTGCTGTAAAACAATCCCAGTTTGGTATATGTAAGCAGAAGATGAAAAGAGAGCATGTGAAACCCATCTTGGACCTTTTTGGCAACTGCTAAATCTTTTACAGATGTGGGGATAAAAAGAGGTTAGAAATGCGGTTGGTTGGATGGAAGAAATAAAAGGTAGAAAGGAGATGAAGAAATCATAACTAACAACTATACTTCATAAGAAGACTGTAACTTCCAGGACACAGCTGAAGGCCATAAATTGACTCAATTAAGAAAGTAAGATATAGGAGTCTGGCAGTTTGTGTATGTGCGGAGGCTGCCAGCAGGATCTTGGCCAAGGAAGTTACAGGCAGCCAGGAGAAGGCCAAATCAAAGAGGGAGTCAAAAAGATTCGATGAAGGACACATCAATGATCAAGGCCAGGCACCTGGAGGCTCAGCAAACAAAGGCCTCATTGGCCTGGAGATATTTTCTTGCCCAGATATAACATATTCATACCCTTCTAATGAATGTCTTTGTTCTGCTTAAAGTTACAATTAATGGTGCTTGCAAAAGTACACCTGCTACATACCCCAAGCTCCTATAGGTCCACTTCTACATCAAATTTTCCTGATTGTAACCCCACAGTCTGAGCTCAACTTGGCTGAGATATAGTCATTTTTAGGTGTAAAGACCCCTAGACAAAAGAGTCCCTTTTTGAACCTCTCCCCAGGTTCATTTGCTGGTGGGCTGATTTTTGCTTTTGCTCCATAATAAGCTCTTTTGCTCTGTCTTTACCTAATAAATCCTACTCATGTTTCTTTCTGGTGCATCCTGAAAATTCCTTTTCTTTTCTTTTTTCTTTTTCTTTTTTTTTCAGTACCAGGGATCGAACTCAGGACCTTGCACTTGCTAGGCAGGTGTGATGCCACTGAGCTAAATCCCCAGTTCCCTTAAAATTCTTTTTCTCCAAAGAGGGTTAGTGATTCTGATACAGTAGAGATGGCTAAGCTTGGGAAGAGACCCTTCCCAGTGAAAAAATATTGACTAAAATTATATTTGTAGAATTTCTTTTATCCTTCTTTTTGTCTGATTATCTGGAGTGACTGAAAATTTGTATAATACTGTTTCTACACCATCGTCATCTTTGCTACCAACACCATCATCCATACATTCACTTCCCTGACAGCCTCTCCATCAGAACCAGCAGTACCATTACCACTATCGTCATCATATTCCAATCACCCTTGTCATCAACATTATCAGAGCCAACAATTACCACCACCAGTAGCATCTCTATCAGCATTGTCATCACCATTATCACCACCACCATCACCATCCTCATTTTCTTTGTTACATCATCACCACTGTCACCACCACTGCTATTATTTAGTCCTGGTGGTTCAAGATAAACAAAGCGCTGGCTCTATTTCCATAATTTTCAAAAGGTACCAGCATCTCTAAGGCCCCTTCTGCTTTCTGTCTCCTTTCCTTTGGTTTCAAGAGAAGGAGTAGAAATTAATTGGTGGGCAGAAGGTAGCTCTGGCTATTGTTTTTCTCAAATCCCAGCCAAGTACTGTACAACTCTCCTCAGGAGCCTGGTAAAATGACAAAATTATATATGAAAAATGGCTGCAGCTGGAAGATAACGTGACAACTGAAGTGGAGGCTTTGAAGTTCCACCACTTCAATCTGCAACTTGGGAAAATGGCTTCATAGTTCTTGAGCTGTTTTCACATTTTTTAAATTGAAGGGATTGGATTAAGTGATCTGTAATGTACATCAAATATTGAGTTTCAACAGCTCTTCTGGCTCAGGCACTTTTTGTTAAAATGGGAGTCCTTAGTGTCTGTGAAGAGCAGAGTGCAGTTGTCACAATGCTGCCTGCAAGTGTCATGCCCTTGTCTTCACCCACATAAGAAGAGCAAGTGCTGGACCAGAAAGGCTGCCTTATGGTAAAGTCACTTAACCTCTAGGATTCTGTTTCCACTTTCATAAAATAAAGACAGCAAGAATAATTATAATGTTTACCTGTAGGGTGGTTGAGGAAATTTAATAAAATAACAAGTGCCTAACATAGCAGAAACTTATTCAGTACTCATCTCCTTTCGCACCCTCCTCATCCTGTCATGTTCTCAAGGGATTAAAAATTTCATTAGCTTTGAAGCTCTTCCAATTCTTTAAAAAATAATTTACACTTTCATTCCATTTCAGCTTGCAAATGATTTAATTTTCCCAGTCTGCAGGGCAAACAAAAGTCTGTGGTCCATATGCCACTGTATTGCCTTCTATAGTAGATTCCCATCACTTTCCTTGTCCTGTTTCATCACTTGGGAAAGCACTTCTCACTAGCTGATAATAGTTAGTTGTTTATTTAATTCCGGTACAGTAGGGATTGTTTTGTTTTCCTGTATATCTTCAGTACACAGAAAAGCATTTGACACATGATAAATGCTTAATACATTCTGGTGAGCAGGAAGAGGAAAAGAGAGAAGGAGAGAAAAATGAGAGAGCAAAGAGGAAGGGAAAGAACATGTATAAAAGAGAAGTGTGTTGCAATTTCTTGTTTATATTTATGTTGGTCTTATTTAGTAGGTGGGGAGCTGCGTGAATATGGGTCATTTCATCTTAGTATCCTTAGCAAATAGTGCATTAGTTGTTGTGTGACAGCATGCTGATATTTAAGTAACTAGATAAATGAATACACTCGTTTGTATAGACTGTTTGTCTCAATACATCTTTGCAGGTCTTTAAGAGGAAAATCAACTTCAAAAAGAGAGGGAAGTTGGCTCTACCTCTTGACTGCAAAAAAGGATGTGTAATCCCCATTGTAGCCCAGAACAGTGCAGCTAATCATCACTGTGAGTCAAAACCCTGCTAGCAGAAAACTCAGTAATTGCAAGTGTAAAAAGCAACTTCGGAAGAAGAGAAAATGAGAGACAGGTGGAGGCCTACTCATGTCAAAGAGGTCTTTCCGTGGGCTGCTCTCCACGCTGCTGGCCATGGCTGGTGGGGCCTGCGGGGGCATGTGCTGGGTGTTGACATAGGTGGGCCCTTCTCCCAGGGTGGGCACAGGTGCTTTCCCTTCCGGTGTGCTGTAGATGTCCAAGGACCCTGCAACAAGAAAATGACCTTTTATTCTTAGAATGGTCACATCCCTCAGGCTTCTGTGATTGGGCAACCCAGCAAACCTCCTCAGAAAATTCTTCTTGCCAAGAAAAACCCATCAGTTACATTTTCCTCTTCTAATCCCATACCTGCTATGTCCTGGTGTCTTAGTCACTGTCCAAGTCGCTGGGGCAAAATGCCCCAAACCCACAATTTAAAGGAGGAGAGCTTTATTTTGGCTCATGTTTTTAGTTCATAGTTGGCTGGCTCCAAGGCAAGATGGCATGGCAGAGGGGCAGAGTAGAGAGAAAGCTGTTCACATCTCACCAGGAAGCAGAAAGGAAGGGAGAAGCCAGGAGGGAGATACGCCCTCCAGGTCACACCCATAGTGAACAACCTCTTCTGACTGGACCCCACCTACTAGCAGTAGGTCAGTCCTACCCCGCATTGCCCAATCATCTTCCAAAGAGCTGAGCCTTTCTGGGCCATTTTCTATCTAAACATGATACCTGATGAGGATGCTTCCCAGTTCTTCCTGTCAAAATGGAACCTCCCAGCCAATGTCAGGGTGGACACCATGCTGGTTAGAAGCCTTGCCAAAGATTCTGGGCCACAATGCCCCAGGACCTTGCTAGCAGGCAGAAGATGGTCCGTTCTTCTCTTCCTTTCCAAATACTCCAGGATCCAATGACTGAGCAGAGGACCCATAAGCCTTAGTTTCCCGGCTCTTTTGTTACATGTTAATGAATGCTTTATGAATTCCGGACCATCTCCTAAGCACGGAGACACCTTCCCCACAGAGCACAGCTGCTGCCCTGACGGGAGTCTAGGGTAGGCTCAGGGTGGAGAAGTCTCTCCTCTGAGGCAGTGAGCTTCCCCGTGGGACTTCTTAGCTGGCTGAAGGGGTTCTAAGGCCAGACTTAGGGTACTGACTGTTCTGTCCCCCAGACGTGGAACAAAAGGTGTTGCCCAAGAATGCCTGCTTGGATCATTCATTCTATTTGAGCTCTGTCTCCAAGCCACTTACATAAGCATCTCCAGGAGAATGCCCCAGGACATGTACATTTCTGGAAAGAGAGTGCATTTCATACCCCAGGGGTGGTGATATGTCACAGCAGAGCTGGCAAGAGTCAGTTTGCAGCTTTTTAAAAATCTTCCCCAAGAGCCTGTTGCTGGATGTCTGCCAGCATGCCACCAACTCCCAGCCAGTTTATGAGACAGTGAGGTATTGTTCTAGTCCCTTTCACTGGGGACGTATCCTGCAGAATCAGGAACTGTGTTTTGACTCTTCTTCTTACATGCAGTATTTACATTTAAGAGGCTGTTTCTCGATCACCTGTCCTTTTTTAGCAACTGCTATTTGCAGTTTACAGGTTTCTATATATTGCAAACAAATCTATGTTTCAAAAAGAATTTCACAAACTAATTTCAAAAAGGATAAGATCAAAAGCCCATAAATGACCTTCTTGCCAGTCTTTCCAACTGCAAATGACAGCAGGTGCTGGGCCAGACAGATTGGTATATGTCCCAGTGGCACTTTGAGTTCGTGTTTGTCTGAGGAAGGGCTACTAGCAAATTAATGAGTGTTGCTAATATTTGTTCTATGGAAAAACATTTACTGTTTTCCAATAAGGATTTGAAACCTATTGAGAGTTATGAGTCTCACATTCTGGCCAGGGGTCATTTGTTCTGGTGAGTCTGCTGAGTTCTGTGTCCTAGACCTGGGTGCAGTAACTTGAAAATATACCAAAAAAAGAACTTTTTAAATAAGCCTGACATAATTTATAATAAAGTAAATATCTAGCAGAAATAATGTGCCCTCATTAGTCTCTAACAATTATATCTATGCATGCATATGTTATATGAATTCATTTAAATGTATGCAGGACAGAGGTGAATAGCTCAGGGTGAAAAAAAATACCTGCAGTAAAAATAAATCTTTGATTTGCTCTTTCTAGCCAATTTTGAGGCAAAGCCACATGGCTTTAGTCAGGCCTTACATTTCATTTCCTGGACTAGTATTGGGGTCTTTCTTCAGCTGGGAAAAACAAGACATGACATTCTTTCACACGGAGAAAATTTGAGAAACTTACTGTTATACGCTCATTGGCACAAATGCTCTATAATGAAGGGATAAAACTTAAAGTTCAACCAATAAATGGCTGAATTTATATTCATAGAGGAATCATTGGATCCACCTCATTCAGACCTTACAGACTTAGTAGCAGGCCCTCAGAGAAGGGGGAAATTTTTAAATTAGAAGAAATTTTTAAAGGATAGATTAGACAGATGGATAGATGGATGGATGGCTCCATTAATTGATTGATCAATCAATGGAAGGGAGGAAGGAGAAAAAGGAAGGAGAGAAGGAGGGAAGAAATGAGGGAGGAAAGAGAAATGAAGGCATACACTTATTTGTATATTAATAACTAGAAAATGAAGGCTTATGTGAACAGTTAATAGTTTTAGATAATTGTAAGTAAACTTTATAGTTATATGTGAATATATCTAAATAACTTTTAGATATCTATATCTAAACTAGATATAGTTCCACCTAATTAGATACTTCAATCTAAGTTATTTTTAGCCTGTGATAAGTGTGTTGTTCAATTTGCTAAGACATGGATGTGTCGTGCTAACATGCTCAGGGCCTAGGAGGGACTCCCATCCCTGGCACCGCTTCTGCTATCACCCCAGCTGAGGAAGGTGTCTAAACTCCTCCTAATGCTACCCCTGAGCTGGGGGTGGAGGGAAGGAAGAGGGGCGAGACAAGGAAGGAAAGGTAACAATTTCCTGTGGAGGCACTGGGGCTCGCCTGCCGGCGGAGCTCAGAGCTCTTTGGGATAAAACACACTTGAGAGCTGCCTTTCCAACTCCACTTTGAAATGAGTGCAGGTGCGGGGGATTATCAGTTCCTCAGCAACCCTGCACCAGGGCAGAGGAGGCTGTAGGAGGTCAGCCTCCAGGGTGCAGAAGGACTTTAATGCTGACTGGTGTGAACTGACTGGTGCCTTGGGAAGCACAGGAGCCACATTGCTGTGTCTCCATGGTCTCATCAGGGTTCCACAGCACATATTCCCAGGCGCCCAAGGTGTTGCTCACAGGAAGAGGTAACCCACTGGTGAGCACCTCCCTTGTTCCAGATGTGTTTTGTGAGTCTCACCTTGCCTGCTGGGTGCTTTCGGCCAGTCTTCACCAAACGCATCTCCCAGATGTCTTCCTTGGTAATAAGTTTGCTCTTTTCCTGCAAACTACAGATAGGTATAAATACAAAGAAACAAAAGAGAATTATCCTCTTTTCATTCCCCGTCTTTAAAAGGCATAGTGTAAACCAGGCCCAGTGATGCACACCTGTAATCCCAGCACTCTGGAAGGCTGAGACAGGAAGATCACAGGTTGGAGCCCAGCCTGGGCAATTTAGCAACTTAGGGAGACTCTGTCTCAAAAATAAAAATTTTAAAAGGGCTGGGGATGTAGCTCAATACAAAGACCCTCAGTTCAATCCCCAGTACCCCCCCCCCAAAAAAAATTAGATGTGATACTGATGGGCTGATTGCATCCTATTATACCCACTTTTCTCCTCATGCCTCACAGTTCACATTAAAATTTAACAAATAAGTTTGTGTGGGTGCAAGGGAAAAGCAGCTTTCTCATCAAATCCCATATGCTGCTCCTGTTTTACATGATGCCCATGACCTATCTGTGACCATAAAGTGAGTCCTTCCATAAGTAGTCACTTCACTCAAAATACCCTAAAGTGACCTTCAACTATAGTATCTGTGAACCATCACCCTTTTCCCACCAACACACACCCACAGTCATTTACACTCAAGGGAGTCCACCCCACGAAGCCAGGAAATTCCCTCTGTCAGATCTCTTATTTCAATGTTATTTTGTCATTTTTATTGATGCAATTAATATTTGCATAAGAAGGCACTGTTAAAAAGTTTCTAGGGCTGGGGTAAAGTGCTTGTCTAGCATGCATGAGGCTCTGGGTTCAATTCCCAGCATCACAAAAAAGGAAAAAATTAATCATATAACAAGATAGAGATACCATAAAGTTAGATAGAAATTTTGAGTTAAAGGGAAATTTTTTAGCTGGAAGGGAATGAAGAAAATAGAGAAATGCATTCTCATAATTTAAAAGCCCTTTTCAGAGGGCTTTAAAAAATCTTGAAATTCCTCGTCTTCTCATTAAGAGTACAATATTATGGGATATGTACTAGGGTTGAGAGGACTCCTCAGACTTGTATTTTAAGATTTACAATATAACCCTAAGGCACTTGGCTGATGCATTGTGATATTAAACAAAAGCCTCTCTTATTTGTGTGCTTTGTGAATTCCAATGAAAGAAAGTTTGTGTGGTTGTGTCAAAAATTAAATGGAATGTCAGCCTGAAATAAAACTGAAGAAAATGCAATGAAGTTCAGAGAGCCTCCATCCAGGGAGAAAGGCATGAGACTTACTTGGGCTGAATCAGGAGGATGGGGTCTGGTTTTCAGTCGAGCATCAAGAAACCCCCCTGGAGGAGGCATCTTGCTGGGAATGCTGTTGTAGTATGGGTGGTCTGGGCCTTCTCCCTCCTCTTCAGTCCAGGGCTCATCCAGACTCTGCATTCTGTTAAAAGATTTTCAAGGGCTTTTAGCAAAAGTTGAGCTTGCAGGCAAACCCAGAAAATCTAACATCAGTAACTGTTATGGTTCAGATATGCTTAAGTGTGACACTCCCCATACCCACCAAAGATTCCTCTGTTGTCAGCTTGGTCCCTAGGGTGGCAGTGTTGCGGGGGGGGGGGGGGACTTTGAGAGATGAAGCCTAGTAGGAGTTCATAGGTAGTTGATGGCATATCCTTAGAAGGCACTAAGGGACCCAAGTCTTCTCTGGTTTCCTCTTTCAAGAGGTTATCTCACTTTTACATGTTCCCACCAATGCTGTGATGTGGCCAGAAGGATCCTCATCAGAGCTGAGTGCATGCCAACACTATGCCCTGGCACCTCAAAACGGTGGGCTAAACAAACATCCTTTCTTTATAAAGTTAGCTTGCCTCAGGTATATTGTTATGGTAATGAAAAATGAAATAACATAGTACTGATTACCAAGAAAAGAGAGTTTAGGCTCTGCCACTCTGCCATTTTATCTCTTGAGCACATGAAAATCAGAGGAGTGGTTTCACCAAAATCTCTGCCCTACTCAGTGTTCTACCCAGTGGGAAATTCCAGTCAGATGCAAGACAAGCCCTTTTTGTAAAGCACATTTTAACTGACAAAAACAAATTTTTGCCTAAAAATAAACCAAGTCCTCAAGGTACAGATACACATGTCAGCAAGTATTGAAATTTATGTAAAATAAAATCAACTTCAAATGAAGACTGAGTGACCTCAGGGGAAATGGCAGAGTAAGGACCTTTGAAAATTATCTCCCATGAAAGCAACAAAAGCAAAGCATTGACCAGAATCAAGTTTTTCAGAATCCTGAAAATTAACCAAAAGCTTACAGCAACCCAGAAATGTTTATTTTAAAACAACGTGTGAGGACAGTATCTTTGTGGCATTTTCAATTGCCTTTTTTCCATCCTATGGTAGCCTTGAAACTGACAACCTTCAATCACAGTGAAAATCAGTGCACAGTCCACAGAAGCAAGTAGAACAGCTCTGAGGTGACTTCAAAGCCTCATTCCCAGAGAGCTGTCATCATTTCACTTTTTTGATCCATCCTTGAAAGACTCAACTTATTAAATTTATTTTAAGTAATACATAATAATTCTGTATATTTATGGGGTAGAGTATGATAATCAGATACATTTCTACAATATGTAATGATAAAATCAGAGTAATTAGCATTTCTTTTTCCTTAAACATTTATCATTTCTTTGTGTTTGGCAAGGCTATCTTTATTTGACCTGACTCTGAGCTTTTTTTGAGACAAAAAAATTTCCTTCCCTACAGGTATTTGTCAAAAACAATTAGAGGCAATTGTTTAACATTATAGCTCACTGAAGCAATGGGTAACATTTGGGTCATGCAGTAGGCTAATGGAGATGCCTAAAAGAAAAAAACTGGAAATGGGTTTTCTGTGGAGATTTTAATAAGCTCCAAACTGTTCTAGGGAAGCTGGAAGGCTACATACACCATGAATGTCTAGGGCTGTGTTCATGCTGAGTTGTGTGTCTGTTCAGGACAGATATGAGAGGACCCCAAGTTTTCACCTCTGGATGATCCTGAAATCCTGAACCAGCAGAAAGTGAAGGCCAACACAGAGCTGTCAACTGGCTGCATGTTGAGAGAGTGCCCCAGCACACACACACACACACACACACACACACACACACACACACTACCACCACCTTCAGGAATGACAGGGGACTTAGTAGTTCCAGACATTTAAGGGACGATTTATCTAACTATTAGCAAAGTAATATGAGTAACCAAGAAGAGCCATCTGTAGATATATATGACAAAGAATATAGATTTTATGATCTTGGTTCAGAAAAATCACTAAAATATACAACCACAACAAATTATGAAAGAGGGGAGAATTCTTGTTCAAAGTTACCACATTATATTATTTAAATTTCCAGTTTCAGGGGCCAGGGATTCAGCTCAGTGGTTCCGGAGCCTCCCGTGCAAGTGCAAGGTCCCGAGTTCCATCCTCAGTACCAAAATAAATAAATAAATAAATAGAATTTCCAGTTTCAGAAAAAAAAATGAAATATATAAACAAGAAAGGATAATCAATCAATGGACAATGTCGCTGAGAAAACTCAGAATTTGAAGTTAGTAAGCAAAATCTCTAAATTAACTACTCTAAGTATGTTCAAAGAACTAAAGAAACAAGGTCTAAAAAACTAAACATGAGAATGATGCCTCATAAAATAGAGAATATCAATATAGACATAGAAATAATTTTAGAGCCAAATAAAAATTTTAGAGTTGAAAATTCTAATAACTGAGTTGTTTAAAAATTTATTTAAGAATCTTAATAGTAAGTTTGCACTGGCAGAAGAAATAATGACAGAACTTAAAGACAGGTCAATTGAGATTAACTAGTCAGAGGAACAGAAAGAGAAAATAACTAAGAAAGATGAACAGAGCCTCAGAGACTTGTAAGACACAGGAACATATACATAATTGGGTCCCCAAAGGAAAAGAGAGACAGAGAAGGGCAAAAAAAAGTATTTGAAGACACAATAATGAAGAAAATTCAAACATTTGAAGAAAAAAATTACCCAATGGCAGGAGAAAATCCTAACTTAACAGTACTTGCATTAAATATAAAGCTTTAAACACTTCCAATGAATGCCAGGGGTTGACAGAATGGACAAAATGATAGACAATGTTTTCTATAAGGGATATACTTTAGAAAAAAAAAACGATAATAGACAAGTCAACAATAATACTTTGAGACACGAATGCCGCTTTCAACAATAGCTAAAACAACTAGACATCAGAACTGGAAACAGAAGTTTTAACAAAACAATGAACCAACTAGACCTAAGGAACATCTACCGAACACTCCACCTAAAAAATAGCCTAATAAAAATTCTTCTGAGTACAAACGGAACGTTCTCCAGGATAGATCACACATATATGTTAACCCATGATATAGGACTCAAAAATTTTAAAAGACTGAAATTATACAAAGTATATTTTCAGATAATAATGAAATCAATACCAGAAGGAATTTTTCAGGATTCACAAAATGTAGAAATTAACCTATTGCTAAATATAGATCAATAAAGAGATCATGAAGGAAATTAGAAATTTCTTTGAGATGAATGAAATTTAAAACAACATACCAAAACTTGTGGAATAAAGTAAGAAAAAATGCTTAGAGAGAAACACTTATCCAATAAAATACCCAATGAAAAAAGAAAGATCTCAAATCAAAACCAATCATCTACCACAAGAAATTAGAAAAAGAAGAGTAAACTATGCCTAAAGGAAGCAAAAGAGAGAAAATATAATTAAAGTGGAAATATATAAAATTGGCAATAGAAAAATAATAGGGAAAATTAATGAAACCACGCATTGATTCTTGCAAAGATCAACAAAATTGTCAAATCTCTGGCTAGACTGACCAAGAAATAAGAAATCTCAAATTACAAAAAGCATTACTACCAACCACACAAAAATAAAAAGCAAGTATATGAGAAACTATGAACAATTGTATGCCAACAAATTAAATATTAGGTAGTATGGAAACAATCCTAGAAAGACTCAAACTACCAAAACTGATTCAAGAAAAAGTAGAAAATCTGATTAGGACTGTAACAAGTCAAGAGTTTGAAATAAAAAAAAACTTACCCTCCAAGAAAAGCTCAGGATCATATGGCTTCCTACTAGGTTCTAACATTTATAGGAAAATAAACAGCAGTTCTTCACAAACTCTTCTGAAAAATCGTAGAGAAAGCAATACCTCCAAACTCAATCTAGAAACCAGTAATACCCTGATAGCAAAACTAGACAAAGACACCAAAAGAAAAGAAAACTGCACATCAATATCTCTTATGAATATGGATGAAAAAATTCTCAATAAAATCCTGGTCAACCAAATTTGGAAACATATAAAGAATTATACATGATGACAAAGTGGGATTTACCTTAGGAATGCAAAGTTGGTCCAACATGAAAAATCAACTAATGTAACCTGAGTGCGGTGGTGCATGCCTGTTCACTCAGCACTCTGGGAGGCTGAGATGCAAGAATCACCAGTTTGTGACCTGCATAGGTAACTAAGCAATCTAGCAAGATTGTGTCTCAAAATAAAAATTTATAAGAAGTGCTGGGGATTTAGCTGAGTACAAAGGTCCCTGCGTTCAATCCTAGGTACCACAGAAAAATCAAAGTACTATATGATGTCAGTATGATAAAAAAGTAATACCACATAATTACTTCAATATATACAGACAAATCATTTGAAAAAAATCCACCATTTTTACATGATAAAATATTCAACCAACTGGAGATTCAGAGGCACTTCTGGTAAAAGCATCTGTGAAAAGCCCAAAGCTAATATCATAGCTAATGGCAAAAACTAAATTCTTTCCTGTTAAGATTAAGGACATATCAAAGAAGTTCCTTCTTGTCTCTATTGGAGGTTCTGGCCCAAGAGATGAGATAATAAAAAGAAATAAAGACATCCATATGAGAATGGAAGATGAAAAATATCTTAAAGGATCCACAAAGAAGCTGTTAGAGCTAATAAGTGAATTGAAAAAGCTGATGGATACAAGATTAATATGTAAAAATAAATTTATAAATCAACACAAAAATAATTTTTATTTCATATATTAACAATGAAAAATATAATTAATGAAGAATTCCATTTGTTGTAGCATCAAAGAAGAATAAAATATTTAAGAAAAAATTTACCAAAACAAGTGTAAGGCTTGTTTGTACACCTAAAATTATAAACCATGTTGAAAGAATACAGCCCACAAAATGGGAGAAAATAGTTGGTAATCATATATCTAAAAGGAAAGATGTATCCAGAATATAAAAATAACTCCTACAACTCAACAACAAAAGACAACCTAGTCTTTAAAACTAGGGTAAGGATTTGAGCAGCTATTTTTTCAAAAAAGACATTCAAATGGCTAATAAGCACATGAAAAGATA